TGTTTAGTTTCACTTTTTAAGAACCTTTCTCATTATTAAGATCACCTTATGATTTCTTTGCACTCTCCACCTCCTCTTCTTTTTCGAATTGAAATTTTCTTTCTTTATTTTCCTCTAAACGTTTCTCCCTCTCAGTCTTACATTGAAGCAAACGTGGAGTAAAGCTCAATTTTGTTGGAAAAAGGTATATACCCCCTTCAAAGTTAACAGAGGTTCGTCATATGGTCGAAGGTATTTATTCTGCTTCTCAATTTAAAATGATTTTAAAATTACAGTATCCTCCCACCATCATTTTTTTCCACACCACCACAATTTTATCTCTTCCTCTGTTTCCCAACTCCTATATTATAATGTCATATAACTTTCTCCTTCCCTCATTATAGTTAATCATGTCTTTGTAATTGCAAAACTTTTTCAAAATGCTTTTCATATTGAACATCAGATTTGTTAACATTTTTCTTTTCTTCCTATAATTTTACTACGAATCTTTTGATGACCTCGTCGCTCCTCTCTCCAGTTCCTCCTCTCAAAATGTTATTTCATATTTTGATATTAAAATTAATTACTACCACATTCTTATTCATCCTCCTCAGCGTCCTTTCCTCGCTCTTAAATAGAATGAATCAATTATCACTTCAACATCTTATGCTTTAAAGTTTTTTCAACTTGCTGGATCTTCACTAAGGTAATGCAAGACATTATGATAAAGTCGAGGATCCACAACACCCTCATATCATCATATATGGATGACTCTGTCTTAACGAACTCTTCCTTGTCTTCCCTTATTTGACAAACTTTCAACTATGTTACACTTTTGCATAATCTTATTTTTTTCGTAGCATCAACAAAAATATTTTTTTCCTCCCCCTCACATAATATTAATTTTTTCGGCTTTATAATTGACACTCACAACAAGCGAATCAAGGTACCTGAAGATAAGGCAAATAAGAATTTTGACCTTATCTATCAATTTTTTTCCTCCTCAATTACTAGTCGGTCCTTGGTAAAAATCGCAGCCAGACACACTTTCCTTTCAAAAACATTCCTCCCCCCCCTTCTTTCTCTCTTTTCTTTACAACTTCATCTCACTTGCGAACCGAGATTCTCAAATCTTCATTTCGCAGGATCTTCTTGTCGAACTTTGAATCACTTGACTTTGCTTCCATGACGACTTTGGACGGTCAAATCAACCCCACTTTTTATTGAGACGGATGCATTCTCTTCCCACATCGCAACAATTATCTAACCACTCCATGAACAAGAAATTATCTTCAACAAATATCTCCCAAAATCTCTTATCGACTCATTCTCTACTTATAGAGAACTCTTTAAATTTTTCATACCTTTCTCTTCCTTTTCAAAAATCACAAAACCTTTTTACTCTATGCGTCAGTAAGGCTTCACTTGAATAGTCATATTACCATTTTTTTTCTGGCTAAGATTCGCTCCTCGAACCCACTCTTCAATCCATGGCTTAGGCAAATCGTTTTTATTCTCGTCTCTTGTGACACACTCCTCAACCCAATTTGGATCCCCCCCCCTACTAAACCATATGCAAATGGTATCTCTAAAATTGAAGATAATTCGGATTGGGGCATTTCTTATTATATTTTGAAGGATATTTTTAACATCATAGATGTTTCAACTATCGATCTCTTCGCATCTGATTATCGTCATGTTTGCCTCCTTTTCGTTTTCAAGATTTGGTCAAGTCATGCATGAAGCATATAATTTTTCTCACTATATTGGAATCTCCGTCCTATTTTTCCTTACATGTGTTTTTTTCTCTGATTTCCTTACTAAACGCGATCATTTCATGAACAATCATATATCATTCTCCTCACCTTTTAATTGCGCCTAATTCTACCAAACCCACTTGGTTTCCAAGACTATCTCAACCGCAAATTCTCTGGACTTATAAGATTCCTCAATCTCCATTATCTTGCATTCGTAGCCAAGAGTTACATCGCTCTTCCCCCAACCCCGCATTATTTGACCTCATAATTTTCCTCTTCAAATCATAAGTGATTATTGTTTATTTTTCACCCTTGCCTCATTCCATCACCATATTGCATAAAGGTCCCAATACTACTGCACGTCCCATGCCGCATCATTTCCCCTAAACTCCATTCTTCTTCAATCTCTGCATGCACCTCACCAATTCGAAAGTTGTGACATGTCTCCCTCTCATAAACTCCTACCTCCCCAAACCATTCTTCAATACGTTTGTTAAAATCACTTCCTCCATGTGCACCCCTCCTACGACATCCTTAACTATTTTTTACATCTTGACCCACCCTTACGTAAAATCACTACTAAATCATTTAACATCTTCATAAATGTCTCCTCACCTTCTGTTGGCTTGCGTAATTTTAATAAAAGATCTTCCTCCTTGCCTATTTGTCTTCCTATAACCAGGTCTAACAGTTCTCTCTCCAATAGTGGTTTATGAGTATTGCAATCGTAATCCTTCTTTACATCGCTGTGAACTTTCCCACAAATACAAAAAAATTGCGGCATCTCTGTACGCCTTAGCTTCCATCACTTTTTTGAGTGTCCGTATCGTGTTTGAAATATAATTTACTACTATACTTACTTTCTCCCATCGTAACGGACGTGCAAATCCTTTTATCACTCCCCGCTGAAATGCATATTATCGATACGCATTTCGGAATGCCTTCACATGACTACCCTGACATGGATAATCACTCTCCCTCCCCAATAACCGGAAACTGTTACTCAAACAATTTATTGCCGCATCGACAGTATAGGGGGATGGTACAGGCACCGCCTCCCTCGTCATATGAAGAACGACATCGCCTTTCTACCTCAATCAACTATTGGCTACTTATAAACGACAAGATATCAGGGTCGCAACAAGTCCTGCAACCACGACCAGCATTGTTTCGCTCAAGCCATTCATTTAATCCCGACAACAATTTCCTCATGCCATTCCGCTATTGCCGACCAACTTTAAACTCCTCAATCACATTAGTACACCCCTCCAATTCGCTCTCATAATCTCCTTCATGTTCTTGTGTCGTTTGCTTTTGTTGCCATCTTCCATCACTCATTCGCTAATTTCACCATTCCCGGCACGACGACCTTGTCACTTGCGGGACGATAGGGGAGATGGGATGGTCTAGAAGGTGTGTGGGCCTGTGGCCCATCTCTGAGACTCTCCTCTACAAAATTTGGCAACATCAACAGCAAAATATTTTTATATTTTATTTGGCTAAGACATGGACAACATTTGTCCTAAGACCGCGGTTGGTTGCATTCTTTTGTGGTCACCATCAGTCTACGTCCCAGTTACCGGTTAGCATTGACCCATTCTTTGGTTCACTTCACTTGATTTCAAACATCCACGACTGTAGGTATTTTCCAAGATGTTATCAAAACCGACATCAGGAGGATTGGCGGTCTGGATGAAAGAGGCATGCATCGACGGAGGATAGCGATGGGACTAGGGACGAGGAACTACGAACTTACCCAGGATACATCTGCACGCCACTGGTCCTGCCAGACAGCTGCCACTCCCCATGACGGTATAAGTCATATGCATTGCAGCAGTGGACGCAGGTTGCTGCATTTGCTGTATTTTTCTTGTACCCCCTCGGGTACGAATCCAGCAGCAACGCCGATTGCATACGCGAATCTGTAAACCACCACATATTCAAGTCTGTCAGCCGATCTCAGAAGAGAGTCATTCTACTTCGCTGATTTTGATGAAGTTGTCCCGCCCGTCCTTGATTTTCCCGTGGTGTGTGGGTTTGCGGGCCCATCTCCGAGACTCTCTTCTACAGAATCTGGCAACATCAGCAGCAAGGTACTTTCCTATTTTATCTGGCTAAGGGTCTCGTTAGACACTCCTAAAAGTGCCTGTTTTTAGGATTGCGTCTTGGTTGCATGCAATCCTAAATCCAATTTTGAGATCGAAAATGTGAAAACGACGTTAGGACGAGTCCTAAAGGATTTAGGATTCCCCATACAAAATCGTCCTAAATTTTCCAGTAGCCCCTGACCTACTGAAAAATTTAGGATTCCCGCGTTTCACAGACTCGTTGCATCGCGCGCATGGCACTGTCGACATGGAGTTGCTGGTGCAGAAGCGGTCCGTCGGGTCAGTGGTCGGACATCGGAGGTTTTCTGCGGGTCGACGTGGGGAAGGGCCACGAGCGGTAGCCGTTGGCGGGGATTGGACGGACATTGGCAGGAATGGACGGACATTGGTGACGCGGCTGCGTATACACATATAAAAACCGGCCGCGAGATACCTTTTAGGATGAATCCTAAAAGATGATTTTTAGGATTGTGTGTAACGACCGTGCACGAAATCCTAAAAATCCTTTAGGATCCGTCCTAAATTTTTTTGGATTCTTTTAGGAGTGTATAACGAGCCCCTAAGACCTTTAACGATGTAGAGAAGATTAGCATGGCCCCTGCGCAAGGAAGGATGACACACATATATAGAGAACTGGTCCAAACTGACTGCAAGGAAAGGGAAAAAGAGAGAAAAACAGACTGCAGCAATGGCTATGGCCTTGAGGTATTATCATCGGACTAACCAGCCCAGGTAAATTCAATATTGTGGCTGCGGAGTGGGACTTTGTCCCGGAAAAAGAAACGGGAAATAAAATCTGCAAGGAATCGGCGGTCAGCGATGAGCAATCTGGGAAGGGTAAGTGGGACCTTGGTCCCAGGAGAAAGAAAAGGGAGAACAAAACTGCATGGATGGAACCTTCCTTCCTTCCTCGTTGAGGGCATACTCACACTAGCACGTTTTTGCTTATTTCTGACGGACTTGTGGCCAGATGCATACAAGTCGGGCCGTACAGTAAAGATAGTGGTGGTGTGAGTACGGCCTGAGGTCCAGCCGAATCCACTGGAAACTTCTGCAGTTACCCTGCCGCGTCGCTCGATCCCTTTGAACAGCCCAGACCGTCCCTCGCTCACTTGAATATAAGTATAAGGCCGCTCGATCTCCTGTCCAGAAAACTGTTCGCACGCTTGACCAAGTCGTGGTGCTGTCGCAGTTGAGGGGCGACCGCAACGACGGCTGATTGTAGGTCATTGCTGTGTGCAGTGCCAGTGCCAGTGACAGTGTAGTGCAGTGCAGTGCAGTGCGCGGTCTTGAGGCGGCTGGTGGAGAGTACTATCCGTTCGTCGTTATTTCTACCGGGCGCCTGCGGCTGCAGTTCAAGGCGCTCACGCGGCTCCAGCTTTGCCTGAGGGTCGGAACTTGTCTTCGCTCCATCTTCAGTCATGGCTGAAGACGGCGCCTCAGCCATGGCGGCGGCGCCGTCGCCTCTGTCGGTCGACAAGCCTGTGCTGATCGACGCGGCTATGTCTTACTTCAGTGCCAGACCGCGGTTTGCCATTTACCTCAAGGGTCTGGAGAACGAGATCACGCTGAAGACTCCGGCGGAGTTGGGCGGACTGAAGTCTCCAACGTACTTGAAGATGAATCCTCAAGGGAAAATGCCGATCCTGATTCTGCCGGCGTCTGATGGCCGCGTCATTCCCGAGAGCGAGGTCATCACCCAGTACATTTTGGATAGGTACGCGGCGTCGGGATCCGGACCTGCACCTGCGCTGTCGACCGTGGACGAGCGTTTGACTGAGAACCTGTTGAAGCGATTGCTCGACACCTATGTGTGTGTGAATATCGGGGCGTTCTACACGACGCTGGAGGCAGACCAGCGGCTGGCCAAGCTAGTGGAGCTGCGCAAGCAGGTCGGCATTCTCGATGGGTACGTGAAGGCGGCGCCGTACGCCGCCTGTCTCTTATACACATCTAGATGTGTATAAGAGACAGGCGCAAGCAGGTCGGCATTCTCGATGGGTACGTGAAGGCGGCGCCGTACGCCGCAGGGGAGTTCTCCTCAGCGGATATCGCGATGTTCCCGGCCTTCGTGTTCGTGAAGAGAATCTCGGCTTTAACCTGTGGATGGGAGGACGTCTTCAAGGGCTGCCCCAACCTCGCGAAATGGTGGGCGACCATCACGCAGCACCCTGTCGCTCAGAAACTGCAGAGCGAGATGGAGTCGGGGATGTCGGAGAGCACTATAGAACCGTGGCTGACAGCTTCAGGAGCCTTAAGCCAGTTCAAGAACACCGAGTTTGAGTGGAAACTATGCTAATTGAGCATCAGGCTGCGATATGAGAGGGTGATAGGTAAAGGCTGGGAGGGCCAATAGGTAAAGGGTGGGAGGGGCAATAGGTAAGCAACCGAGGGTGTTAGGATGGGGCAGAAGAACAGGCAATAGTACTGTTGTATAGTACTGAGCGAGCAGAAAAAGAGGCGATAGGACTGTTTTATAGTGCTGAGTACTCTCAGCTCAGCAAAGTAAGAGATGGAGGTTGTTGGTTGGCAGTCAGAATAGGGAGAATGGGGAGCGGAAAAAGGCAGTCAACGGACGAGTACCGACGTACTGTGTGGAGGTCAATCGTCAGGTGATCGGGAGTCGGAATCCCGTTCCAACGAAGAACCCGTTGTGGGGAAGGACAAGTGAAACGCTCGGTAAGTGATCATATATGGGTTCAAATGATGGAGATTGAATCTCAATGGGATTATCTTCCTCTGGATAGAGGTAGGGAGGAGAGCAGGTAGTATTGAAAAGGAAGGGATGGAAAGGTAGGTTTTAAGGATGAAGACATGTAAGCGAGCGGATCGAGCACAAGGATGTTCATTGCGTCCGGCATTGGTGCAGATGCTCATAACTCCCGTGCAAATCGATGTAAGTGCATCAGTTATAAAGGATGAGGAGACGTAGGCGGCTTGCATATGACCGGATGGGAGTGAGTAGGTGCCCCGTGGTAGACGTATCATTAGCGGTATCAACAGATCTCCTAGCGGGTTGTGCCTGAATGGAGGTAGTGGAGGTGATAGGTGGTCAGGTGTTAAAGAAGTAGATATGTCTCGAGGGGGGAGGGAGGGAGAGAATCATTTGATAGGTTGGGGGTGGGAGGAGGGGTAGATATGGAAAGGGGTGGTAGGAGTGGTAGATGAGGAAACTACCTGCTAATGATGGTGCGAAGGTAACAAAGACGTGATGGGGTGGTTGAGTGTGGGAGGACATGGGGGAGGACATGGGGGAGGACAGGGGTAGGAGAGTGGGTGGGTTGTTCCTCTCCCGTGAGTATCTTCGGTCGGCCGCTTTGGGCATCCCATGCCTTTCGAGAGCTTAACTCCTCGTGAGATGATTTTTAGACTGTATGTGAATGTTCGACGAAGCTTCGATGACAACGATTTAAGTCGTAACATGAGTTTCAATTTGCTTACGACAATGACACGGAATTAAGGTTTTGATTGAAGTTATGCTTTCTGGATTTTACTTTCTCTCTCGTTGTTGCTCCCATTTTGATGGCTGTGTGGCTCTCTTGGCATACTTTTTCTTTTTGTTTTGGTGATGTGATGATGAGCGGCAAGTAAAGTGTGATGAAATGTAAATACAGTAAATTCGGATTTGTCTTGGCATTCCTCTTGGGGTGAGGGAGGGGTGATGTTTTTTTTTCTCTTTGCGTTATTGACACTAGTAACAAAACTGGAAAGATCGAGAAAAAGTGTAGAAAACGTGAAAATCAGAGCGATAGACTAGGTAGCATGCCCCCCCCCCCCCGAAATATATTGATGACACTCGCCGCTCACGTCTGGCTTGCGGGTTATGACCTGTTTGTCTTCTGAAGTTGTCCCTGTAGACGTCATGTTCGTGTATCTGATTGGGTGTATTTATTGGTGACGTCATCCGCTCGCATTGTGTATCTGTTTTGGTGTATTTATTGGTGACATCATCCGTTCACGTTGGAACGACGATGCAGACAAATTGTGTGCTGAAGTTGTAGACGTTTATGTTTGTATCTGATTGGGTGTATTTATTGGTGACGTCATCCGTTCACATTGGAACGACGATGTATCTGTTTTGGTGTATTTGTTGGTGACGTCATCCGTTCAAAAATTGGAACGACGATGAAGACAAATTGTGTGCTGAAGTTGCCCCTGTAGACGTTCATGTTCGTGTATCTGATTCGGTGTATTTATTGGCTGTCTCTTATACACATCTAGATGTGTATAAGAGACAGGTGTATTTGTTGGTGACGTCATCCGTTCAAAAATTGGAACGACGATGCAGACAAAGAAGGTAATTGACGTTGCCTTTGTACATTTTAAGGGTAGGTTGGCAGGCACGAATCACGATGAAGTAATGGTCCACGTAGGTACGTACATAAAGAATTCTTTTGTTCTTTTTCGTTTGTGATTGTGTACTGGCCAGCCTACCGGTCTGTTATCCTCGTCTGTTGTTTTCTGGCGTGTTTTCGTTTTTCTCTCTATTATAGTCTTTTGCTCTCTCCCTCTCTCTCATTTACCTACCTACCTACCTACCTACCTTTGCTATTTATATCGTTAGCTTCTGTGACTCGAGAGCGTTCGTTCTCTATCGTACTTGTACTATTTGGTTTCTCTCTCACGGTGAGACTCACCTATACTCGTTCCGATTCAATGCTGTTAACCTTTGAACTGTAAATGATCAGTGTTGATTTCGATATCATAGTAGTATCGATTGTGAATTCGCTCTGTTTTCTCTCCGGATTGTTCACGTATGCAATATCAATTCTGCCAATTGCTGTGTACACGCAGGACTGTCGATAGTGCAAGTAGAAGCATACAAGCGTGTACAAAACAATCGAAACGCGCATGCATTCCTCTCAGAAAATCCTACACAGACATATGTTGGTTTCTTGCGCATTATCCGTTCCGTATTTACTGAATTTAATTCGATAAATAAATAGGGTAGGATTTCCCCCCATATAGAATATAAGTAATAGGGTCATAGATTACTCGTCTGACACGGCAACGAGTTCTTAAGCATCTTTGCCCCTTGTGTGGTTATTCCTATGTAATATATATATATTATTTGCTTTGTGATAATTGGATTATCTTTCTTTCCCTGTCAGGTTTGGTTTCCTCCCCTTCTTTACCTCTTTGCCTTTTGGCTGCGTGCAAGTGGGTCCTTGTGACACACGGGGATGGGGGCAGCCAGCGCTCAACCTGTCATCCACGTGGCTGGCCTTGTACGTAAGAGGTTATGAACAGGTGGAGCCTCTTTACCTCTTCCCCTTCCCCTTTTTTCCTTTTCCTTTTTTCTTTCCCCTTTTTTTGCGCTCTGATTCACAATGTGACAATATATATCTGTTTGTGACGATATATATATATATATCTGTTTGTGACGATATATATATATATATTTTTGCAGACGAGGGTTTTTGTCCTGGGTGGTCTTGTCCGTCGTTTGGCCTTTGTAGGTGGGACTCGTCATCGAGGATCCGGTTTGTGCTGTTGCTTATTGCCCCCTGTTTTGTTGTATTTGGCTGTTCCCTTCCTCTTTTCTTTGCCTCTTTGCCCTTTTGCTGTTTGCAAGTGGGTCGATATGACACTCAGGGGTGGGGGCAGCCGCCGCTCAACCCCCATCCACGTGGGCGGCCTTGTACGCAAGAGGTTCTGAACAGGGGGAGTCTTGTAAGGAAGAAGATAAGAAAATGAATTCATTTATTTTTTCCTGTTTTTCTTTCTTTCTTTCTTTCTTTCTTTTTTTTTCTTTCTTTCTTTTTTGCGCTCTGATGTTCTTGTGACAATATATAATGTTTTTTTTTTTTTTTTTTTTTCAGAGAATCTGCGGGGCGCTTATATCTCAGCGGAGACGCTCGACGGATTTCATAAATATATAAATGTTTTGTCTGCACTTATCTTTCCGATTTTTTCCCACCATTGATCAGAAAAAGCGATCTGCGCTTTTACCTTCCTCCCTTCTCCTGTCTGAGGATCGCGTGCGCGGGTTTTGACCAGCAGTGTAGACACTTGTGAAGAATGAAAGATGAATGAAGTTAATTCTATTCTGTGTGAAGAGCAATTTGGCCATTGCTTATCGTCTCTTCTGTTTCCTCCCTTTCTATTCGTCTCCTCCATACAGTTTACTGAGCGCATCTCTAATGAACGACGAGAACAATGGGCCTCGCTGCACTACTCTTGAAATGCACAAAAGACAAAAATCATGACCGTGTATCTTTCCATGTTCTAGCGGAAGATCCACTCGAGTTTTGCACATTTCGAGAGTAGTGCAGCGAGGCCCAATATATATGATCTGTATCTTTATAGAGGAAGCGATTCGAGTACCCGTTAGAGGGAAGTTTATATTGAACGTAATCCAGAAAAGAGACTCGTAAAGATTGGCTTGGACCCTGCGCTTCATAGGATTCATTTCCTCGATTTATGCGTGTCATCCGTGAAAGCGCAGGGTCCAAGCTGATCTTCATTCTCTGTATCGCTGTATCGTTCGAATTTGCGCGAAACAAGAAATGAAAAACAGAACCGACATGAAGGGGGTAGGGGGGGAATAATACCGCCGGCAAACGAACCTGCAAAAACTGGCCACTAAAGGACGAAGAAGAAAAGAGGAATCGAAACGATGACGATCGATGGATTGCCCTTCATTTATTATTTTTTTATTTTTTTTTCGGCTATGAGGTTGGAGAACAGAAGATTGTTTTTTTTTTGTTTTTTGTTTTTTTTTTAACATGTCATTATATGTTTCAAATGAGCAAAAGAGGCCGGGGACCTCACAACTGCACCCGGTGTTATCCCGGCAGCATCAGCCGGTTTCGCTTACAGCCAAGGAAGAGAATAGAAGATTGTTAGAATCGCCAGACAGGTTTAAAAAAAAGAAAGTAAAAAAAAAAAAGTCGCCAGACAGGTAGTTACATTCCCCCGTTGACCAGAGCAGTTGAGATATGTGTGGCGTCTGCGTTCCCCCCTTAGCCGAATTTAGAAACCGGTGAACGGCCTTGCTGGAATAATAGTCGTTGAAATGCATCGCGCCTTCATTCTCTTCCTCCGAATGCAACAACGTACGGTCATCATCAGAGCTGCTGTATCTGTATTTGGACTGAAAGTTACCCCTAATTCAGCCATAATGACCGTACGTTGTATTGGGGTGAAGAAGGTAGTCACATGATGATGAGAACGGATCCAATCATTGACGCGTTTTGTCCTTCTTCGCCCTGTCAAATTGACCGGGTCCATGGAATATTAGTGACTCTATTGAACTATTTTATCTATTTGACTATGTTCTTTATATATTATTTCACTATTCTATTGAATACTATGCTACCAGCCGGGCCGCCCGGGTCCCGGGTGGCCAGCCCGTGCAAGGACCAGGGAAGGTCCCAGCAAAAAAAAAAGAACTCCAAAAAATCCAGAAAAAAAATTATGTTATGCAGAAAAACAAACTGAACAACTTTTGCCTCAGGGTCACATCGAAATTCTTCACCAAATTCAAAATACAAAATAAAATTTAAAAATTAACTTTCTTTTTTTTAATGTTTTTGGCCCGGCCCGGCAAGTGACCCCGGGCCACTCTGGCAGCCTAGATTGAATATCAATAAATCAAATTACTATAGATTACTAATTACTATTAAGTTAATTTTGCTATTCCTTCGAACCATAGACATTCTCGACGTAACCGAGAAATTGACTAAGTCCATGGAATGCGTAATCGAGAGAAATGGACTAAGTCCATGGAATGCGTAACCGAGAAAAAATGACAGAAAAATTGACCAAGTCCATGGAATGGGTAACCGAGAAAAATTGACTAAGTCCATGGAATGCGTAACCGAGAAAAATTGACAGAAAAATTGACTAAGTCCATGGAAT